ATGGTAAATATTGCATTAAGGTTGTTAAAAGAAAGCGGTTTAAGAAGGCTACCGCCGAAAATCTTTTTGCGGGTGGTTGCCACCTGTTTAATTTAAATATAATTTAGTTTGTAATACTAATTAAATATTGCAATATTCGTATCAAACTAGAGAGATTTAGTTCAGTTTACAGCCGAAAATACTTTTGATGTGGGCTACCACCTCTTTAAGAAATTTAATTCAATTGCTAAAATAAATGAAATATTAAAATACGGATATCAAGCTGAAGTGGTTTAAGAGAGTTTACTGCCGGAAATATTTTTGAAGCTGGTTGCCACCTATTTGAATAATTTCTTTCACATAAATTGATAAGATAAGTTAAATATTAAAATATGGGTATCAACCGAAAATATTTGATGTAGTAATATCTTCAACTAGCAAGTACCCAGCGTGTTAATACTGTTGTAATTGTAAAGTAGAAAGATTTTTTCATACATCGAAAAAATGGGATTTCCGCGATTTTTTGCGAATAATATTGAATTAATACACCTTTGAGGAAAGTACGCATTACGTACACTCGAGTTATAAGATTACAAATTAAATTTCCAGTACAAAGTCTATAATTTACCAACTTTCTAAATATGTTAGAAAAATTTTTTTCCACTGTGGTTTGGTCCAAGTTTATAGATATGTGTATATGGCAGCCGATTGAAAAAGAAAATATTAAACTGAAATACATACATTCAAATGTTCTACAGATCAGGGCGCATTAGACTTAGGGAAGTCAGGACACAATTCACGGCATCTGCGATCGAATGAAATAGAACTACAGCTTATTTCTCTCCAAAAGGAATTTCAAATTACGCTTTTGATATTCATAATTTTTTTGATTATTTTTTATAATTTAATTAATTATATTATTATATTATGAATAAGGATGCTGGCTATGTTTATCGCTCACTTATATTTATTCTATGTACTTTGTGATAACGTAAGAGCTGCCTCGTTTGTACGAAAAATGTAAAAGCGGGACTTAATCGGTATAAATATGAAATATCGGAACACTTATATGTCCCGACGTTTAAAAATATTCAGCGGGACAATTTTCTCAAAGCCGGTACTATCCATACTGTCCCGCCAGAATTGGTACGAATGGTCACCGTATTTATCGGTGACAACAAAGTGTAGTTTACGATGCAAAATCAACTTTGAAAGGAATCGTTAATACTTTAAAATAGATTTACTCCACTTTACCACAGTTTCAAAACTACTGTTTTTTACAATAAATGTTACGCTTAGGTTGCACGCTAATAAACTTATACGGACTGTTATAACTGCGAAATTTATTTCTTTTTCATTTACAGATTGATTGGGGTGCAATATAGAAATTAATATCCTAAATCATTTCCTTAATATTTTTGTATGATTTATTATTTATCTCTTACATTCTGTTCTAAGTTGCTTTACCACATACATACATGTAGATACTAACATAATTATGCTTAAAATATTTTACAACTAGTATTTATATAGATACATATTTATGTGTGTATGTAGATATGTATCTATGAATACATTTAACATTATTTATTGTTTCCACATAGGCAAGGTTGTGAATATGTACGTATGTACATGAATGTATATACAAGTAGTTACACAAATAAATCTGAACGCTTTTTTTTATAAATACAGTGCCTCAAACAAGCGTTCAAATTTTTTTTTTTTTAATATTCACAATGATCGAGATTAAATGCCTTACCGAATAATGTAGTTTCGCTTTGATAAATAAATTATAACTAATTTAAAATCGTGGAGACTTTTGAGATAAGTGTGTAATTAACATTTCATATCCTTCTTCTTCTTCAATTCCACTTTTGATATCGTACACAGAATTTTATTCAACAATTTACCATTTAAAAAAAATTAAAGCCAGTTTTTATAAATATCGCTTGTTCGATGACAAAAAACAACCGCAAAAGACCGGCGCACAGTGGTTCGAAATAGCAATCTAGAGTACATCTATGATTTAGTTTAAGTGTAAAATTTTAAAGTTTTTTCTTTCGATTTTGCAACACATTAGAACGCACTTTTATTTTGTTAAAAAAAGTACTTATATATAAACATATATTATATGAAGTAAATACGCAACCAAAAGACTGTAAAAATTGAATTTCATGGAAATAAAAAATATTTTTAGAACAAAGTGTCAGCCGCTCTGGATCCGACATTTTGAATTTGGAATATTTCACATATATAAATTTTGTAATCCCAAAATCAAAATATACCTAAATACTAAATTTTATAAATATTCATGCAAAAGATATTCGTTAAGTGATATTCTCCTTCTAGGTTACCGTTTCGGACCATTGTGCAGTGAAACAAAATATTAAAAATCCAAGCGAATACTTGACTGCTTCAAATATAACCTAAAATTGTGTGCGCAGCATACTCAAAAATTTTCTAAATCACAGTTTAGAAAGTTCGATATTTTAAAAGGTGATTGTTGAGTTTTTCTAACTTTTTTTTAAAGTGTGCTACTTTTGTTTGCATCGTGCGACAAAAACAACAAAATTTCGAAACACATGAAGCAAGCAATATACTCACGAAACTATGGGCCAAATATAGTAAAACTGCGTTTTTAGTTTTCCTCCTTGACGTCAGGATTTTTTTTCAAGGACTTTGTAGTTTCAGAGATATGATTAATTCCAAAAATTATTTAAAAAATTTATTTCAATGTGGAAATCAGTATGGGTACCAAATGAAAGAGAAAACTCTGTAGAATTAAAAAAAAATTAAAATTTTTTGATTCACTAGGACGAATAAATATTGAAAATGTTCTTTTAGTTTAGTTTTTAGTTTAGTTTTATTTTTTTGAGCGAATAAAGTTAGAAGAACGAAATTTGAGGATGTGGTCGAGTGCATATTAGTAATTAACATATATTTTTTTGGAAAATAATTATTGCAAAATTTCAATGCTATTCAATGAAAAAATGTTAAAAACACATTTACAATACCTAATCGTCCTTATGCTCCAAAAAATTTCATGGGCCTAAATTCTAGAGAATATTCCCCTTAATTTGATAGTCATACTATTTTTCCAAATTTGCTCTAAATTTTGTTTTAATAATTTTTTGAAGTAAATATATTTTTAAAATTTCAAAATCCTTTTAAAAAACATCCTGACGTCAGAGAGAAAAATTAAAAACGCAGTTTTACTATATTGGGCCCATGGTTTCGCGAATATATAAAACTGTTTGTGTGTAAAATTTACTGTCGCATGGTGTTGTATGGTTTTGATTATAGTATTAACAATATTTTTGTACAAAAATAAATACCAAATTTTAATTCGCATTGCATCTTAAATATTAAAAAAAAATCAATATGTGAACGTTTGTTTGAGTCACTGTATGTAGTATGTACGTATGTATATAACTATGCAATTATTTCAATATGCATGATTTGCACTTCTGCGGCATATTCTTATGTATAATTAATAATTATGCCTTCGAATGAACTTTAAGTAAATATATAAGTACATAGATGTAGCTTACACATTACATATGCACATATTTACGACTATACATAATTCAATGTGACACATGAATACCATAAATATATGTTCATACTTATTATTCATTATGAATTATTTAATATTAATTTTTATTATTTTATACATATCTACATATATATTTGTAATCATAACAATAACTATTCCCATAATTGCGTAAGGCTTCTGCTACATCGTCAGTTGGTTAAACAATTTTTTTTTTATTTCTTTAACTTCTGGCTTTCTTTTTCATAGAAACTAATATACTCTTACTAAATATTTATATTTTCTTACTAAACTAAAATAATTTACTCACTATTTTGTTTGTGTTGCTATTTAACTCAATGTTTTCTACGTTACTTTGGTAATTATTGTCTAAAATTTGTTAAATATTTACTAAATATAGCTAATACAACTATATAATTTCACTCTATTAAATAAATTATTGTTTTCACTAACACTTACATAAAGGTTAATTCAATACTAAGCAACTACTTTGTATTTTATCAACTGAATTTCTTTAATTAACTATTTTTAAGAACTAGAAATATTTTCTTTACATTTAAATTTAAACTATTTAATTCTTAAATTCTAATAAATTTAATGAGAAACAAGCGTAAATTTATGGCATGCGAGCAACGCTCCAATAACATATCACCTACAGTGTATGTACGTAAAAATTCATCAGACGCGCCGCTCGCACAATACAGCCAACTATAATGCACTAAGAAGATCCTTCTGAAACACGCATTCCCTTTGTTCGCACACACGCGTACATACATATATATATATATACATACATGGCTCTCCTGTGCAAACTTATACTAATCCATGATACCCTTTCTCTGGCACCATAAACTCTCCTCGCTCATACCTCTAGCACGTTGCAGTTTTGTATCATAGTTGCACGAAAGCTGAGATGAGCAACTCTTCCAAAAGCGTTTTCTACAAAACAAAAATTTCAACATATCTGACAACCCCGGCAACTGGTGCATAGTTCCTAGGGCTCATTAGGTGTCACACCAAACCGTGGTTGTCAAATATATTTCAGTACTCGTAATCTTTAAGAAAAATCAAAAACAGCATATAAATACATACATACACTTGGTCACTCGAAAACGCATTTTAAGAGAGCTGCATTTCTTTCTAATACCCCCACCACCCCCTACCGGCCATACACTTACCGGCTCCCGTTTTCCTTGCCACAATTCCTTATGTCATATGAAAGTCTCCTTTGAGTATGCGCGTAAAAGTCTTCTTGAATTGCTGATTCGCGAGCGCATAGCAAAATGGGTTCATCGGACTATTTGCATAGCAGAGAAAGTACGAAAACATATAGAGATGCTCATTTGTGCAGGGTGGATTTCGACAGAAGCCTTCCACCAGCGCCAACACATGGTATGGCGTCCAACACGCCACGAAACAGCCGAGTATAAAGGAGATCGTACGAAACGCTTTGCGCGCTCGATTCTCTGATTTCGATTTCTGTCGTCCACCCCGATGATTATGGGCAACTTCTTTTTACTTTTGAAATGCTTGCCTATAGATTGGATGAAGTCTCGTTTACTTGAATTTCGGCTGGTTACTTCACCACCGGCTTGTGTGTGCGATTTAACACTTGATGGCTTGTTGTTGGTATTCGAAGTGCTACTACTGCTGCCGCAGGTCGTGCTGATGCCGGCGCCTGCCACCAATACCGTGCTGGTAGTGTTTGCATTTTGTGTGAGACTACTGGCGCAGGCGTCTGTGGAATCGGCACCTAAATTTTTTTCCGTGTTCGCGTCGTTTTTGTTGATGGTTGTAGTCGCCTCGGATGTTTCGCGTTCATCGATTTTTTCCAGCTGCGCTGGTGGCGCAGCAGTAGTAACGGTTGTCGTTACTTGATTTTGCATTGACAGTGTCACGGTGGTTACGGAGGGCGCTGCGGCAGCTGTTGTGGTGGATGTGCGTCGCGTATGCGTCTCCAGTGGGCTCGAACTGCGTCGTATATCTTTGGAGATCGCCGTATCATCGCCCAACTTGGCTTGATCGCTGAGAGTAAGCAGGCTTATAGCTTCTATGCAACTCTCTCGCCGCAGCTTGACAAAATCTTCCATGCCTGTATAGGAAACAAGAAGATGTTGCTCAATTTCGACATAATCTATTTCGTTTTCGGTTGTGGAACTTTTGTTACCATTGGATGGAGCAGAAGGATTGTTGGCTCCAGGTGGGGAAGTGCGGCGTGCAGCTTTGGTCTTAGACTTTTGCTGTTGTTGCTGAGCAGCCGCAGCCTTTTGCAGTGCCTGCTGCAGCAACTTGGGATTGGTGGCAACTTGATTGGCACGATCGTAACCGAGCTGTGCATCAATATAGGCGGCAGTGCCTCTTCGCAGAGTGCTGTTTACGCTGTCGTTGGCGATAGGCGATGCAAGCATAACAGAACTTTCGTCCATAAATCGCAAGTCAGAGCAATTGGTTAGCAGGTTATAGGTCATATTGAGCTCACTAATACTGCTGGTGTCACCAAACGGTCTATCCGAGTACTCGGAAAAGGGTGAGGGACATTGGAATTGCTCTGGAGGTGGGAGAATAGCTTGAACCAAGCACTGCTGCACCTGGTCACGTGGCACCTCGATCGGTGCAATATCCACGGGCGAGAGCGGCGACTCAGCGTGCAGTTTGCCAATCGTGCTGGAACGGGAGCGTGGCGGTGGGTGTGCAGTACGGTGTTGTTCATCAAGTAGGATCTCAGTTTCAACAATTTGGGTAAGGGTTGTGCACGAGGTACGTTTGGGTCGGTCGCCACTCGCAGCTGAATGTATGCTCACTTCTTCTTTGCTTTGAGTACGCACCAGAACGCCACTGCGTGTCGGATTGGGGGATGTTGCGGTGGCCGTTGTGGCCATGGTTTCACTGGATTTGGAATTTGCGGAACACTGTGTTAAATTACCTTTACTACGCGTAGCTATCAACGCCGCCTGTGCGCCGAACACCAGTCCAATTGAAGAGCGCTTACGCAGATTTGCTAGTTTTTGCTGATTAGCCAATTGCTGCGTTTGATTGACAGAACTTTCCTCATCGGAATCGAAGGCCGGGCTACTCGATCGTTCACTCTTTTCTGTTTCACCTGAATTTCCATCACGCTTGCCGTTTTCCGTTTTGCATTCGGAAATGCGACGTTGTTCATTGATGGCTTCGGCTACTGTGCCGTTGATGGCTTCTGCTTGCGTCATGGGGTTCATCTGGCCGGATCCACGCTTAATACCACCACTGCAAATGCTACCATCCTTGCTCGTTATGCCGCCGATCTCTACCTGGGTTTTCAATATCTTTTCTTCGATGACTCCTATGCCTGCTGCATGGCCCGCCATGCCGGACATGGCGCCCGCGCTCAGCGCCACCATCGATTGCATTTTTCGCTGTTTGGCCTCGCTACGTTTCTGCATTTCGTAAGCGGTANATGACTCCTATGCCTGCTGCATGGCCCGCCATGCCGGACATGGCGCCCGCACTCAGCGCCACCATCGATTGCATTTTTCGCTGTTTGGCCTCGCTACGTTTCTGCATTTCGTAAGCGGTGCGATATATACCACCATACAGCACGAACAACACCACAAGTGTAGTCCAGTAATAGCCAATAATAAGCGCTGTATTGAAAACGGGATCCTTGAGAAATTGCACAGCACACTGGCCCGGTAAGAGGTCACGTTTGCCCGTGAAATGCTCCCAGCCAAATATGGATATGAAAAACAAAAGCGCTGGTATGATCCAGGTTATGGTGACCATATAGATTACACGTTTTCTCGTACGCCAGCTACGGTACTTGGCAGCGATCTTTACCGAACAATAACGGTCGATGGTTATCAGTAGAACTGTATACTGCGATGCCAGACACACTGTGTAGTCTACAGACAACCAAAGATCACACAACAGCGGACCCAAATCCCAGTAGCCCATTAGCACGTATATGGTGTAGAAGGGCATTGAGACCGAACCTGTAATAGTAATGTGGATTAACGCTTGCGATTGAATAGGTATTAAGCAATTGCGCGAACCTACCGATTAGCACATCCGTTGCGGCCAATGAAGCAATAAAATAATTGCTCGGCTGTCTAATATTCCGATCCACAATGAAAGCGAGCAGCACAAGCACGTTGCCGCCTATCGTTAGAATGATGCAGATCGACAAGCACAACGCGATCAGTATGCTCTGCCAGAGCGCAAAAGGTGGCAGAACCTGCGATGGCGTTGGCTCGTGTGTGGTAGCATTCGTGTAATCTTCCAACAGGCTCTGGTTCAGGCTACGATTATTGTAGGCCATCAGCATGTCCATTTCCCCGTCATAGTTCCACATGCTCAGCTCACCGTTCTCGCCAATGAAAGGATGATAGAGCTGAGCGGCCTCTAAGAGGCGCTTACACTCGGTGTGCTCGACAAAACGATTGAATATAGATTTGCAAATATTTTCGCGCTCTTTCTTTTGTCGCCTTTGCGTGTCAGAGTGATGAAATAGAAGATAAAGTGGTTATTAAAAAAATGTATGTATATATTAAAAGGGTATTGTGAACAGAGAACTCTTTACTAACCATTGCGTTATAAAATCCGGTTTGATAGAGTAAATGGTATCTGTCTTATTGGTGCTTGCTATCTCGAGCGTGGACAACTCTATATTCGTGTACTCACTTTGATTTGGTACCGTCATTTTCTGTTTTCTTACTCTGCAGCCGAGGCCGAAAAACTGTGATCAGTGTGGGCGATGAATTTGCAATGCGGCTAATTTTCGATGTTCACAAAAAACTGTATTTAAAGTGATTTTCGGTTGTAACTTCATTAGCTGTGCAACCGCAAAGTGCTGCACATCAGTGAGTGGGGTGGCAAGGACAGCAAGGATAGTGCAAACGGCAACTTGTTGTAATAATCTGAAATGCAAAAAAAAAGTATACATATGTAATTATATTTGGCTAGTAGGTAGCTTGTGAGTTGCATGTTCGCATGTTGGCCAGCTTGAAAATGTACACTGTACATATGTACGTACATATATTAACCAAAAATGTGTTTATCTACTACCTACAATTTAGCTTGTCTACATTTTAAGTGACTAGAAAATGTTGTTGACAAATTAGTGCTATGTTGCATAATAAATTGAATTTGCGTTGCAGGCAGGATGCAAAACGAAAGGTAGAGGCAAATAGCAACAGCAAAACTTTGTTTCCAGCTGCTGTGGTACACATTTCTTCTTCTAAAATATTCTTACACAAACTCAGTCATTCGGGGTTAACGCGTATGGCAACTATTAAGGAATGTGTGCATGCGTCCAGTTTAGTATGAGTTGGCTCTTGACACTTGCCTCATGTCACATACCGCGTGTATATACGTATGAGTGTTGTTCTCATATATACATTAGAGTGCCTCACCAAAAAAAAAAAACTTGCAGTTATTCCATCGGAATTATAAAATTTACTATATTCTGAAACTTACGCACAAATATTACGGAAAATATTAAGATTTGCGTAAGTTGGACAGATTTGATAATACCTCCAAATTTTTTTTTTTCTTATTAAAAAAATTACTTAGTTTAAGAAACACCTTTTCTCAAAAGTTTACGTCGAACCTTTTTAAACTTAAACTCGTGTATCAACTGAGGAGACTTAAAAAAAAAATAAAAAATTTGTATACTAATTTTATTTATAAAATACTCGATTTTTGGAGGTATTTTCAAATCGGTCCTGCTCAGGCAAATCTTAGTATTTTTCCCAAATATATTGGCAGAAGTTTTAAAATATGATAAATTTTATATTTCCGATGGAAAAAATTACAGATTGTTTTTTATTTTTGTTTGAGAGAATGCACAACTCTTTAAATACATATGTATACTCGTACTACAGACGTACATACATATTTATGTCAAACGCAAATGGTTACTGTTGCCGTTTGCTTTGGGCTCTCAATTTGTGCAGCACGAATAGTTACTGTCGAAATTCGACATTTACAGGCGGTTGCAAATTCACCTGCAACTTTGACACTAATACCTATGAGCAGCTTTAGCATGCATGCCACTTGTTGTAAGCAGATTTTTTGAATTGTGGTTTGGTTCAAATGTAATTTGCGAGTTTTTACTTTGACAAGCAATAGCCGTGAGTTACTTTCAAGGTGAAACCTTTTCTGATTTTCTATGGTTAAATGCTCGTAGAGGTTATTGAAAATTTTGTGGCTATTAGTGGATGCGATGTGTGTGTGAAAATTATAGCTTTTATTAGAAAAGTGTAAATTTTTACTTAGGAATTTAAATAGCTATGATATATTACAGCCTTTTATGAACTCGTTGAAGATACATTTCAGACAAATCTTATTTTGCTTACAAGTGAAAAGCTTGAAATCATGTTGAACGAACGTTTATATTTCCAAATTCGTCAAGATCACTAAAGAAAGTAGACTCTACATAATCGATAATGCCGGACAGTTACAGAGAAGAAGGAGAAATATCTTTGCCTCCTCATAGAAGTGGCAATCTGCAGCACCCATGCTAAGCCACTTCGAGCCGGTCTGCGTATTTTTTTATAAAGCAGTAGCCTATTAACGTACCAATAGTGTAAAATATATCCTGCCTCTTTAGAGAATATAAGCCACGAAACTTTTGTTGATCTCCCCTACGCCAAGTAGGTTGTAGTCTATTGTCTTGCATAAATTGGCGGTAGTACTGTCTTGCATAGACTGGCGGCAGACCAGCACAAGTTTGGATTTCATTGTGACGGAACTCGCAGCTTTGATTGCTGTCATTAAAGATAAACACCTCTTTACCTTTTAAATCATTTCGAAGTTCGCTTAGAGCCTCAATTATGGCCTGAAAAATAGCTGAACTGAACGGCTCAGGGTAGGGCTGCGAGAGAAGACCATTTTCGGCAGCAAAATTTCCGCAAACGAATCAAGTAAATTATGTACTTCTGAATCCAGCGCTTACATACAGCATACACATCCCATACATCAAAAATTTCCTCGCATGCTTTTGCTCCGTTTTTTAACCTTTTTATACTTTTCATAAATCGCAATTGCACCAGTGTGATGTCACACAAATGTTATTCTCAAAAATCCTCTCTGATGGGCGCAATTTTGTATTCTATCATTCTTGCATCGGTAGTCTGCTACATCTGTCGCAAAATGGCTCTTCGACCACGCGGTCGCTGTTATACGCAATTCGTCTAATTTCAAAACAACCTGTGGAACTAATTTTTTACATCAATCGTATTTTTCTTTGTTAAACTAACTGAATAAATAAGCTATTACATAAACTGTTAAACTGCATAAATAAAAATCCCTTTCCTACAAAAACTGTTTTTCTCTTACATGTATCATTGGCAACACTATACAATATTTCAATGAGAGCAACTGGATTTCATTTCGTTCCGCTCCGCTTCACGTTTGAGAAAAAGTTGAGAATTCAGCATTTCTCAATTTGAAAATAAAGCAATATTTCATATTAAAAAAGTGCTTTAGTTTGAGATTTAACAAAAATGCTTATTGGGATGTAAGAACGTTAGTTGGAAGCCATTGCAGTTAGCTACATTCCGCTGCGAGGCACACAAATTCAATTGTTCCACAGTGCATTAACGGTACCAAACTTTTGAGCTGATTTGTAGCTTATCGCGACAAGCGTGATAAATGAAGTTACACCTTGATTTGCCACTTCTCATCGGTACAAGTGAAATTGCTTTCTACATCAAAAACGGGAGAATGTGAGAAGCTGTATGTATGTATGTAAGTAAGTATGTATGTTGCAACAATAACACAGCTCTGCAACACAGTATTGAGTATATTGGCCTAGTAAACGAATGACGTTGACGGTTGATGGGATAAGTCTGTTTATGTACATTTGTACATACATACATATGTACGGGAATGTATATGCAGATAGAAGCAACTTATGTAATTTGCAAGGAAATTGCAATACTCCGGCGAACAAGGCCAGCAACGAATGTAAGATGAAATATGTGATGATTTTATTCCAGCAGACATACTTGGAAAATTAGTTGTCCATAAAGATTGCACTATTTCACTATATTTACATACAGAGACATATGTACGAGCACATACATATACTTATTTACAAAGTTCGATCTTTAAACCTCGAAATTCAATACAAGTCATTCAGTTGGTTATAATTTTACTATAGTTCTTATCATAACTTTACGACACCCACATATTGGAAAAATTTGACCATTTATCTTAATATCTTTTAATTTTAATTATTCGTTTATAAAAGTATAGTACATTCTTTATCAAAACACATATAAATTTAAGCTTCAATCCTTGTGCAACAATAAAAAAAAATCATCCAACTTTCGTAAAAATTTCGAGCTTTTTAACTCGATTTTGGGTATGCAGTTTGGTAGCCCATTTCAGCGTAAAAAATTGCAAGTTTTAAGCGAATTCAAAATACCGTTGATTTTGATAAATTTTTTGTTAAAAGCGTTGCTCATTTTCTTCATATAAAAAAAATTGTCGAATACACTTTGTATGCTTAACAAAAAAATTCAAAAATCAGTCAATTTAAACTTACACTTTGTTTTACCAAGCTACAAAATTGCATACTCAAAATCCATATTTCCAAAAATCGAATTAAAAATCTCGAAATTTTTACGAAAGTTTGTTGATTTTTTTTTTTAAATGTTGCATAAAGATTGCAACTTGGATTTATACGGGTTTTGTTAAAGAATATACAATATTAAAAAAAATAGATTTAAAAAATATTAAGATAAATGAANTAGACAAAAATTCTAAAAATGGTAGATTTGACTTCTATTGCTATAATAAAGACCACCCATATTAGTTGTTCTTTAATATCTACAATGTACAGACATCGACCTGTTACAATTTTAGTATATGTATAATAACAACAATTGTACTCGTTAACCACATTTTTTATAGTAAAAAGTTTTCGTAGGTGGATGCAGTTTGCCAGAAACGAAAGTATTAGTATATTTGCCTGTCCGCTGCACATGGAATACCCCATGTGTAGAAGCTTAAAACAACACTTTTCTATCCTCTTCCATTTAAAAATTTATTTCACTTGAAAGGAAAATCAACCAACACACAAATTGGATTTTCTATAAATCGTTTTTGGTTTTAGACGATTAAGTCTGAAGTCTCAAGAGGCATTTAATGAATTTGTAGCAGGAAATCTCGTTGAAAATTGTAATAGCACAATTTGCAAGTTTTACATACATATATACTACTTATGTACTTAAGTTACCAATGTTGTTGAGTATTGTGGAACTTTAAAAAGCAACAACGTAGACTACTGTTGAGTTTGAAAAATGCATGCAATAAAAATGCTTATTTAATAAAAGTCCTTCTATGCATACATTTCGAGATAATAAACTTCAAATTAAATGACTAGTTAATTTACCAAAAAAAAAAATGAAAATAATATTTAGCATATTTTCAGTCTATTTGAGTTCGAACTAAAGTCAATATGTTGGCATTTGAAATTATCAACTCTAACGAACCACAAAGTGTGTGGTTTCAATCACAAGCCACATGCCAATAAAATTTATGTAAATGCTCGTTTTTCAATAAAACGCCTTTTTAGTGCTCCATCAGCTATCTTTTGTAATATTGTTCTGTTGCACTTTGGCGTAGATATTTAAAATTCATGCATATGGATGGTTAGAAAGCCACATAAACTCCGTATTTCAAATTCGAATATTTGATGTCACTCAGTTAGAACAGTCGGCACAATTCACCGTAGAGT